CTAGCCACCAAAGCAGAGATCCACTAGCCACAGCTTTCGCGAGAATCTCCGCCAAGAAGACTGCCAGCCTCAGGCCCGCATACACAACGAAATGTCAACTGGCAATCCTGTTTACGTCCGCAGTCCTCCCAGCACATTCCTCTCTGGCCGTCCAGCAAAGCATTTGAAACAAGCTGGCAAAGGTTCCCGCGGAGTGTCACTCCAATTTTTCTAGCATTGCCCATATCTTAGGCAAACCACTTAAGATCCCTCAAAGCACGAGGAATTGCCACCTGGGCCTGGCACACTTATTTCCCAAACATGTTCTTTGAAAGTTGGCGAACATCCATAGCTACTCCAATTTCCATGTCATCTTCCACTGGGCTGTACATGAAGAGGAAAACCACGAAAAACCTTTTGAAGCCCTTTAAAGCAGTTGGCAATGGAGTAAAGCTTTGGGTTGTCCTTCTGGCTCTGGCTGAGGAATAGACAGGAATTGCCAAGTCAACTCAGGAAGCGAGGATAGCGAGAGCTGCCTTCACGGGACCGTCAATACATGTACTAAGAATCATCTTCAAGAGCCTTCTGTTGTTTTAACCTGCAAATCCACGTTCAAAATCAGGCAGAAAAGGCGCGCACCAGCCTCAGGAAGCGCTGCCGAACTCCCTGGCTTCAATTTGAAAGCTCCCCAAAATGCTCTGCACGCGGCTTCCGCCGTAGTGCAGTCGTCGCAAAAGTCCGCACCAAAAACTCTGAAAAGAAATATCACCGCTATGGCACTAATTAAGTTGACAGTATCCATCACCGTATACATGTCTGTTATGGTTATAGTGCTGTTACCGCACTTCCTTCGTAAGCTCCACCTCGCTGCAGTCTGGTAATGACCGGAGGTCCAGTGCATCGACCCAGTTCAAGCTGTCCTCGTAGGCCTAGGCCAAATGTGTAATACGAGTTTTTCTTGTGTGTTGCGCTTTCTGGGTATCAACAGCACAGCATCAGCATTTCCATCCGTTCATTTGATCTTACCTGGCATATTCATGACGATCCAGAGGATCCAAGTAGGCCAACGACGATCTGCGGATAGAGGCCGCGGAAGGATGACAGTCGAAGTGGTGCTAGGCGATGCGTATCCAGGTCCTCCAACAGTCTCTCTCACACCTTGTAAACACAGCGTTCCTTCTTGCCATGCTGCGCAAGGGGTCCATCAGGAAAGCCGATGAACCAGCAAGCGCCCTTTCCACCTTCGCAGAAATTCCGCCCCAACAGAACGCGCGTGGAATCGTAAGTCCGGCAAGCAAGGTCGAGTCCGGGCCTGAGGGAACTTGGGTGCGAAGCCTCGCCGGGTTTACATGTTCTATGGCTTAAAGGAAAAGGCTGAGATGAACAGTGATCACTCCAAAAGCAATACTCCTGCATACTCCTGCAGTCACCAGTCGCTGTAGCCTGTCTCATTCTTTTGCTAATACCACCCCGATTAAAATTCTCGAGCGTGGCTGCATCCAAGTCGCAAGATGCCACTGAAGCCTCTAGGCCCCTCAGTGACCGAACAATTGCATTCAGAGTCTGCAAATGCCCGGTGCCAAAGGCCTCATGAATGACTCATGAAGGTAACTGCGATTGGAAAAGCTCGGGTTCTTGGGAAACTTTAGCATCAATTCTTGCCGTTGCCACAGTTACAGCATCCCATCCGCATCCTAAAGAGGTCACATACACGGAGCACGGCAAGGAACACAAGGCCCTGAGATCGTGACGACGAGTGCCGAAGCAATCGCAGCAGCGGGACCACAAAGTGGTCCTAGATAAGGACTGCCATTCACAACTCTGCTCACACATGAGACTCTCGAGCGCGCATACCGCGCATACTGCACACAATGCGGTCAAGCAGAAGGAATCCTCGGAAGGTCCTTACACCAAAGCCGTGCTTTTTATCCACGGCCTCGTCTTCGGAGACTTCGCCTCCCGAGGCTCGAATCTGCGCCACCTCGGACTGGTACCTGCAACGGGCTGACTACGCGAGACGTCGCGAGACTTCGTAAGCTAAGAGGCAAGTCGTTTGGCTGCTGAAATTGACAACGCACGAAGCTCACCGAAAGCTCACTTCAAGCGCTGCCACCGATAACTCAAGCAGGAGCACTCTGCCCGAGATTCTCGCAAGTCGCGTGCCTCAAGTAAATCACAGGCTGCAAGGAAAATACACGCATCATCAGTGTTCTTGGGCGCTTGCTGCACGCGACAGGGCTGCCGTGGAGGAGTCGAGCAGCACGAGGCAGTAGACCTGCAAGACATGTGGAGGCCATGCTCTTCTCTCACAAATCCCAACCACCGTCACACGCCCCGAAGAACTGAAGCCTGTGCTAACCATTGCTAATCACTGTGCACCTGCAACGAGGCTACCCAGAAAAGACACTAGCAAACCCTTATTTCAATCATACAACAAGAATGTACCAGTGACCAGAACAGACTACGTAGCCATTCGCATCTTTCCCGTTCCTGATAACCATGTGAGAGGAAAATGGCCGGAAGCATCTATCCTCCCCAAATTTGCAAGCACAAGTGAAAGACTACCCATGGAACGGGGCAAGGGAAGGGCCCACCCTCTGCATTGCCAACGACCGGCACAGTAACTCAGCACCTTAGCTTCACTGCGCCCACAGCATCCCGGATTCAGGATGACAGTGGGAAGCAATGTTGCAATTACCCCACTTACCCTGGGATGACATAGCTGACAGTGGCAGCAGCAACAAGCCAGGCAGTACCATGTAGTTGCCGCTGTAGTTATCAGCTATAGACTCTATAGACTATAATTCGAACATGAATGACCGCATGCCATGTTGATGTCTTTTTTGCAAAGCCGCAACAGTACAGAAATGCTGTCCACAAGAATCTGAGCAGGCAACTTTGCACAGTCAAGGAGACTCCAACCATCTCGGTGAATCGCATGAGCTCCATCACAATCTCCTCCTCTCCTCGAACACTCCCCAAGAAACACAACTTTCAGAGGCATTTTTCGTCAGTGGGAACATCTATCTATGTTCCGATTATGCATGCAAATTGGTTGAGCGGTTCCAGTAGATTCTTACAATTCTCTGCGGATATTCACAACTGCACCTGCATGTCACCCAACGCATTGCTGTGTGAGCATTGCTCAAGGGACCTGCGTATGCACCTCACGGCGCAGCGTTGGCAATGTCACCAGAGCCCCACCACCCCCGCGCCCAATGGAATGTTCCTTGTGCTTACGTGGGATCCTACCCCGAACCCACCCTGGGTGCGTTTGGGGGCTTGGGTGGGATATACGGGCATGATGTGAGGTCTTCCTCCTGTAGGTTGGGAGCTTGGGGAATTAAGGCGACATAAAATACATAGGATCTGCAAGTTTATGTTATGGTAGCGGGGCATATGGTACTTCTACGGATTTACCAGGATAAAGCATTGTAGTCACGGAAACTGTAACCGTTCCTCAGGATTATCTTCTTGGGTTTTCAGAGCCTTGCGCATGCTTGCACTCATGCATGTATACATACATGTATAATTCTGTCACAGCACAATAGTCCCCCTTAAGTAACCAGTAGGGGTATATGGGGATCTTATTGTAATATATCCAAAACTATATTCTATCTACTGAATGGAGACTATAACCCCAATATATATCCTATTATCATATAGTAGTTTCCATTTTCTTCTCCACTATCCCTATATAACCCCAATAGAACCCTAATATTCTATCTACTTAAGGGGGACTATACCCCAAGAGTCCTGTGGGCCACGAGAAAGTCGCCATAGCCTTTGGCTCCGTTCCCCCGGCGGGGAAGAGCAAAGCAGCCGCCTGCAAACATTGACATCAAGGAATTATGATCAGGGAGTTGGGAAGTGATAGTCTAATAGGGTTTAAGCTTTAGGGTTTAGGGTTCAGGATTTGGGGTTCAGCGTTTAGGGTTTAGGGTTTAGGATTTGAAGATTTCCAGAATTAGGTGTACCTTTCCTGGGGGTCCTAATGAAGAGGATTACAGCATTTGGGGGTCTCTATGGGGTCCCCCTGGGAAACTACCATATGAGGGTCCTCCTTAATCATTGTATTGGATCAGGTTGATTTTGAGAAGCTGCCATAGAGGTGGACAGGCGGCAGGACAAGATGATTTGCTAGGCTGACTGGGTTCATCCAAATGAATAGCCTGCTGACACTACGAATGT